ACAATATTTTTTAAATTACTGCACTAGAAAGTAGAACTATGTAAACCACCATGGCAATCTCCAACACAGGGCAACCACCAGGCAAGCACCATGTAAACAGGATTATGTAAATTGCTGCAAAACTTGGCCAGAAATCATCAGCAAGGAGATGTTCTGTCTCCAGCTCAGTGGCAGCAGAAACTGCACACAAAGTTTACTGTGAATCCCTTATCTATGCTACTCCAAACCAAGTGGCATAACAGTACAGTGACTCTGTCCTGAGCCATCCTGTCTCAGAGACATCTCATCTGCTCTACTACAGTCTGTTCATTGCAAAAACACACAACAAATCAAGTCTGGCACCCTCAGAGGACTAAGGATCGGTATTTCCACATAGCATTGCTTATTTTATTATTTGAGCCACAAGATGGACTGAAGAAACAGGAAATAAACACTGTCATTTACACAGCTGATACAAGCTGTCTTACCAATTAAATTGGTCGTGAAAAATTAACTATGAACAATTCAAACTACTGCACTGGTTTAGTCCTGAAATATATGCAGTTCATTTCAGGAAAACCAGTGATGGGGTCCCTTAGTCACCTCCTCCATTCTCCCCTGCCTTATCACAATCTGCAATATAATCATGTGACAAATTTGATACAAAGCTTAGTTCCAGACACTGAAAGTCAGCAGTTGCATGGTTCAAGAATTTGAAAAGTAGACATGCTTTTAGAATGCTGTAAAAATCAATAACAAACACTTTCCTGTTTTTCTTTTTATTATCAATAGTAATACAAATCAGTTGTATTAGCATGATAATGAAAAGTGACCAGTTTTACAGACATTTAAAATGTTTGTGCAAGTTAGAGACAAAGCTCTGAAGCTATTTAAGAAAAAAAACAAACCAAGAATTTACATTGTATAAATAGCATACATAATTTAGAGGCAGTTTATTAAATCTTGCAATCACAATCACTTCTTCTACAACTAAACCTCTTCCTTGGTGTTGGAGATAACACCTTCCCCCCCAGGAGGAACACCTGCCATTCCCATAAGTGTGGAGATTATAGTGATAATCAGAGCTTTTTTTTTTTTATTATTCCTCTTCCCTCCTTCTCCCAACTATAAAGTCAACAGGAGGTGAAGATGGCAACATATGCTTGTAGCAGTTAGAGAGCTTCTGTCTACATAAGCTCTGGGTTAAATTGATAACCAACATTGAGCAAGAATTGATAGACCTGTATGTCCCGATTAATGGCTTAACATTTTGGAAAGCTTTAAAGAGATACTGGTGAGCATTTCATGAGATGCATTTCCCCCCTGCCTCTTGCTACATTCCAGGGTATAGCTTTGTGCCTCAGAGCTAAAGTATTCTTAGGCATCATATTCGCCAGATAGCCGTCTGAAGTTCCAGTTGAATCCTATATAACATCTTACTGAAGTTAAATGCCCAGAAAATTTGTGCATACATCTTTCACTTCATCAAGGCAAGTGTTCACCTAGAAATTGCAGTTAAGGCGCATGGGTCTGCACAGAACACGACAGAAGTAATTGAAGATGCACCTCATGTTGCATCTGTACTCTCATCTGGAGAGAGATGCTCCTAAAAAAACCCACAGGAGTCAGGTCTGCCCTTGCACTCCTGGGGTTCAACCTGTTGTGGAAGTGGAACATCATGTGACTACTTAGCATCTGTTATAATGGGGGCTTTTCCCATCCTTCTGGTTTGAGCAAGCATGTAAGTCTGGAGCACCTTAACACCTGCAGCTAAGCCACCTATGGAAGACTGCAAACAGCAGTTAACAGCTCCCTGACTGGGTTCAGCCATTACATAAGAAAAATACTAGAATGCTTAAGTGCAAGTATGTAGTCAAGTCTTACATGACTTCCAGCTTCAAATATCAAGTTACTTGCCTACAGCCATGCTCCAGAAAGCTTTAAGAGCATATTATACTAATGAAGAGAAGTCCTGGTCTTTAGTTACCTAACTTGTGAAGGCTGCTAGAATATATCAGCTTCAAAACAGCCTTCAGTGGCCTCAGCTACACCACATGGCTAGTGGGCAGCCACACGCACCCTCTCTTGCCAAAGTTGTCCTTGTTTGATACATCTGATCTGCAAGTACTGATTCTGACTAGAAGCCAAAGTTCCTTTTACTCTGCTTACAGGAAAGCCCCAAGTCAAAAGGAAGCATTTCTCTGTTCCATTATTTATTCACTCTAGTCAACTCACCTAATGTTGATGTCAATTGATGTCCAGTGAGGCACACCTGGAAGTCATTCAAGAGCCCTCAGATTGTATTGTCCTTGTTTAGAAGGGCACACATTTTGGCACTTCCATCGTAGGAGGTGAAGGCAGCAGGATTCTAGTCCAAGGGAACAGTCTTATTGCCTTCCCAATACAAGTTAGAATGCTTGTTGCCCACTGTTACGAAGTAGCCAAGGTAGCTGCCTTGTTTATCACCTTTCTAGCTACAACTGGAAAGCTAAATTGAAGTTTGCCACAAGTACACAGGAGGAATACCGAAAAGCTGCTGTATTTAGTCTCTAGGCCTAGTCCTTCTGGAAAAGGTGACAAGCACAGAACACTGAAGAGATGCAGCATCAAGCTATGAAACAGCACATACCTTCTTCCAAGTATGTCCACCTCAGTAGCATTTTATCGGTTGAAAACAAATAATCAAAAACCCCTGAGTGAGAACAGCAAATGGACTTTAAGAACACCAGTGGGAGACTCACTGAATAGAAACTCATCTGTCCTATCAAATACTGTCAGGTACTTTAAGACTAAAGTGATCAAAGGTCAAAGCATGCCAGTCTCTTGAGCCAACACAGCTGAGCTGCTCATTGTGAACTTTGCTGAGTTCATGATTCATATAGCAAGAAAAGGTTATTCAGTTTTGTTAGATCCATTTTACAATCTGCCTCAGAGGGGCTTGACCTAGATAAGCTTGTGATGTGAACTCAACTGTTCCTTATCCTTTAGGTTAATTAAGGACTTAACCTTTAGGTCTCAACTAAAACCAAACTTAAGCAAGTTGCTTTCCTCCAGCAGCAGACATTAATTTGCTGTATGCAAAACGTGCAATCAAAACTGAACTCTATGCATGGAAGCTCAAGAGGAAACGTTGTTTTAAGTGTTATAGCTGCAAGAATACTGTAAAGTACTTAGGCTTTAAATTTTGGTAATATAGCTCAAGTGACAGGTTCTATAACCCAGGAAACTCCCAGCCTCTGCTTCAAAACTGTACTGTCAAGTTGGCTTTGTAATATCAATTAATTACACTGTTAAAATATAAATATTTCCAGAATTGGCTAGCTATTCTTTCTGCACATACAAGATAACAAAGAATGAATTTAACTTGACAAGAAAGAAGATTACAGCACCTTTTATTTAGTACAGTTTCCCCAATCTAATGAGTTGCCTGACAAGTTGAACTAGTTATGGAAGACAATGAGTTTGGGACAATAAGTCCCTATGAAACCTCAGACCAACAGAGGTTCTTGTATCTAACATCTTTTTTTCAAAGTTCAGAGGTGGAATGCACAGCAGCAATCTAGTACATGTTAAGAATTGGTTTTCAACTTCAAATTACAATACTATGTAGCGAACAAGATTCACTATTCCTTCTCCTCAAAAAGAAACAGTGTTTGTTAATTTACTGGTGCAGTGTGCTTCACTGAACAACTACATAGCACATTGCTTTCACCAAGTAATTGTGTTTTAAGTATCTGGTTAACAAGCAAGATTCAGTCATTACTTTAAGCCTCTCTACACCTTCAAAACAGAAGATGCCATAATTCATTGAGACACTTCACAATCAGGAAAGACAGCTACTTTCCACAATAGTAACATAAGAAACATAAGTCTTTTTTGGCAGCTGCACTTAATTTAAACTGCATCAGAAAGCTCAGTTCAGTCAGCTGACAAGAGGAGCTGCTAAATACTGACTTTTGTTCCATTTCTGCCCTGGGTTTTGTTGACCAATACATGACCACCATTGCATGACCGACAACAAAACTCAACAGGCATCTCCATGTGCTAGGTTGCTGTGCATCAGGAACAGTACATATGAATTTAACAGTTTGTAACAGACATGGCAACTGCTTAACTTCATTTGCTTTTTGACACCATACAACTCACTAGCCAAATAATCACTGAGAGGTAGCATGTATGCCTAACCTATTCCAAGTCATGATTGCATGATATGACCGATCCTCACCCAAAGTCTTCACTTTCAGCAAGACAGGAGACATATACAGATGCTCCCACTTTTCCCACATGATCACAAGTGTTCCAATAAAAACAAAACTGATGAAATCAACACTTTCATTTTCACCATTCCAGTACCAGGGAGAGGAAGGATGATGGATGTAGAGTTGGTGTAATTGAGTCTAGCCACAATACATGGAGGAAACCCAGGACAACACTTTGAGGAGATCATGAAAATATTATTCTTTTCAAAGAAAGGCTTACAGTAATTTTCTCACCCCATGCCACTAATTTAAGGATGAGAAGACAGATCAGCAGGGAATGCATCTAGCCAGTATTTAAATAACCATTTTTGCATTGTCTAAGTAAGTTTGAATTGAGTCCATAGGTCTGATTCACGAATGCTGTATTGACTAAACAGAACATGGATAAAATTGAGTTGACTCTTAAGTGTCAGTTGCTATTTCTTACATGGAGTGCGGTGAGGAAGCCAGCATTTTTCAATGTAAGAAAACTCAGCAACAACTAACGGAACATGGGAGACTCAAACCCTTTATCAGATGTCATCTAGCTTTCCTGCAGTTTGCAACATTCAAGGAGGGCAGCAACAGTGGAAAAAATTACTGAACCTGAACAGCTATGCTTAGTAAGGCCAGTAGAGGTTCAAGAGAAACATATTCAGAGAAACATTAGAGTAAACTAGGAAGTCAATACAAAAGTATTTCATATAACCAAGCTGAAGGATTGTAGTTCTGAAACTGTTTCTAGAACTACGCCCATTTCAGTTTAAGTAGGCATCGGTTTTATTGGACACCTGAAATGGTTTCAAAGTTCTGTTTTCACATTTTGAAGGTGTGATATGCAAAGCAAAAAATAAGGGAGTCAATACAGACTTCCTTTCATGAATCCAGCCCTATGTTCTTAGTGGTATCTTATCCATGCCACCTGTAGATAGATATTTACAGTTCTCAAGCCTCACAGTAAGCAACATCTTTCTTTAAAGCTTTTCTTGTTCTTGCTGCTTTTCTTGCCATTCTTGTCTTTGTTTTCTGACATTTTCTTTGCTCTGATTTCTCTCATTAAATCAAAGAATACCTAAGAGAGAAAAAAAAAAAAAAAAAAA